AAAGATTCTTCTCAAGTGACTAGTGATTCTTCAAGTGATGATAAAAGCATTCCGTGCACTTCAACGATCAGTGCAGATCTACCAGCAGTTGGCGAATCGTCTGGCAGCGTCTCAGAGGTAAAAGAGTCATCTGTTGCCGACACTCAAGAATTACCGAAAGCGAGCTCAGATCTCTCCGCGGCGATCGAGGAAACTAAAGGGTCGAAGGTGGGAGAATTAGCCGATCACGACGCAGAGCTGAAGGATGCATCGGTTGATTCCTCTTATGCTAAAAAGGATACTGAAAAGGCGTCTTCGTCTTCTACGCGCAATGCAGAGCTTACAGTCACGTCCGAGAGAAGCTCAGAATCGGTGGAGGCGCGTGAAAGCATTGAGGAACCGAATGGCTGTAGTAGTGGCGAGAAAGGTTGTAATGATGAGGTTGTGGGAGAAGACGTGAGTGAGAAACAAGTTGTAAGCCAGGATACTGGGGAAGAAAGCACGGATAAAGCTTTGGAAATAGAAGGGAATGCGAAAGAGGATGGTGGCAAAATTGGTGGTGAGGCAAATGAACGAGAACAGATAAACACTGATCAGTCGATGTCGGTTTCTCAGACTAATGAACAAACTGAGTCATTAGACGAGAAAAATACTACAACAGGACTGTTGAAAACAGAGGCTACAGTAAATGGACAGCAAGGACAAGAAAAGCAAGAAGAAAAGGATAACCCTCAAGAAAGCGGTAAACAAGGCGAAGAAGCCAGTGAGCAACAAGGCCAAGAAAATGTTGAAAAAGTGAACAGAGAGCCGTGTAAAAGTCACGAAAAAGAACCAAATAATGAACAAACTGAAGAAAGAAAGGCTGAAGATTGCTCACAATCTAGCGGAGATGATAGACGAACAGAATTTAAAAAGAAAGGCGAAAGTGAAAGTCTTGAACAAACGAAGCAAGACTGTGAATATCAGCAAACAAATGGAGTTTAATTTGAATTTTTTTCCACGATGAGATCTCTCATACAAGTAGAATCAAACTATTTTAACATAAACAGTGGCTTCCAGGTTCGAAATTTTTTATTTACAGTAATGGATATTGTTACCAGGGATCAGTAACTGGTATTTGCTACAACGGCATCAATAATTTTGGGACGTAAAAGAACACGCTACATAGTAAGGGTTTTTATATTATGAAAACGAACGTTGAATGCAGAACATGGGGCTTTATAGGCCATGTCCACACTAAATGCGTTTTCAAAAGTATTCGTCTTCGTTGTGATCGAAAGCGCATCGATCGATTCGCCTTCACACAACCGTTTTGATGCGTTTCGAGTGTCTAAACTAAAACGTTCGAGAACGATACAATAACGCTGCGCGCAGTTACTATTTATAGACCCTAAACTCAGACTAACATCAGCGAAGTCCTCACTTTTGTCTGACTTCTGTCATTAAAATGTCGTGTTTGTCTGTCTTTTGTCATAAAAGTGAGAAAAATGACAATACTCAGACAAAATTGCAAATTATTGACTCTGACGTCATTCGCGCGTTTTCAAACGAAAACGCGTTAGTTTGGACGGTGCCTTAGAATTCCTCCGGCGTATAAATTTTGCCGTCGGTATGCTTTCTGTTGTCAATTTAAAAAAATAAATTATAAAAAACATTGTAACAAGGCCAAGCCGCTATCTACGTATGGGGCGTGGAGATTGTTACAGCAATGAAAAAAATTGGGGGGAAGAAACACTATCTTACAACAATAAAGCGTTTTCACTCACCTGGCCAACAGCTATATTCAAATGTTACATAAGATCCCTCAGGACTGGTTTGCAAAAACAACATGGCTGCCATTTCATTGTTTTGGAACACCAAGATAGTGGACATGATGTCGTGTGAAAACACTGTAGTAGGGCGGTTAAAGGTTCTATCGACCTCTTTAGCGTGTAAGGGCCTGTTTACATGGAGTGGGGGACCCCCGTCTAGTGGGGTTGGTTTCTTTTGTTTTCACGCTCTGCGGGACACAAAACAAAACAAAACCTACCCTACTAGACCGGGGTCCCCCACTCCATGTAAACACGGTCTAAGCTTTGTTTTTCTAATTCACCATTTTCGTATAGACCATAATGAACCTTGTTTAACCCAAAAATTTTTACATAACCATTGTCGTAGATTTCTCTTGGGACCACTATAATACCCAGGAGAAATTGGAAGCAATGGTTATGCAGAATTATTGGGGGGCAAACAAGGTGCATTATGGTCTATGCGAAAATGGCCAATGTAGGTTCTCCAGGGTATTCACGTGCATATGTACGCAGAGACCTTCATGGGGAAAATAAAACATGCAAGCTAAAGAGGTCTATTGCTCACATATTAATCACGCTATAAGTTAACTGAAAGCATAAGAACATAACTTTCCCACTGGAAATTTTTTGTCGGTTTTTTTAATATATATATTATATATTTAAAGGCATTAAGTGGTGTTTATTCAAGGAGCGTGGGGGTAGGGGTGGTAATGTGAAAACGTGCAAAATTTGCATAATATAAAATTGTAAATAACACGAAATCACCTTATTTCCATAAAAATTTTATGATGTACGTGCTTGTTGTTTCCTCTTTTCACGTCAGTTCTTTTGTTTACTCTTGGTAGCCTCAACCTTGCCCCCAGGTCTTCTCGTTTTTTAAACAAGAAGACCCTGGGGACGAGGTTGTAGGTAGCCTGGCTGACAAACGCATAAACTTCCTCGTACCCAGCGTCTTCTTTTCCCTTGACCAGCGGTCGGGAACATCAACCGAGCATGCGCAGTACGGAACGAGGGCCTGAGGCACGAGATTGACGTATAACAGACATGAGGAGCGAGATAAACGATGCGCGCTGCGCGAGACAGGAGGACACACGCGAGGAGGGAGCGCCCCTCCCCCCCACCCCCCTCGTAACTTGCACATCATTTTTCTAATGTTTGAAGGATAACGAAATAATCGCGCTAATTCGGAGAAGCACCCAACTCCCACCTGTAAGGGTTTTTTTGTATTATCCTAAATTTGAGATATAAGTGCCCCGGGAACATCCACTACTTTTAATTCCACTTTTGACGAGCTGGAAATTAACGTTGTGGGCCTCAGTGATTCACAACCTTCCAAGGGTTCGTTGCTGTTTCTGTTTATGGATATTTATGGATAATTCTCCTTAGCTTTGCTCTAATAGGCGAAAAGTTAGAGCGGGTCCCAAATAATTCACTAGTCGGGGCTTTAACTTGAAAAAGGTAAAACGACAAAAACAGCCTTCATACGTAGAATAGTTTAATATAAGAATGTTCCACATCGTATGGTTATAGTATCGATGTACATCACTTCACTGTGATTTCTTCTGTACAAAATGGAATTATGTTTTTGGACCAACTGTTGGCTCTCTGACCAGAAGCATGGCATGGTGCAAATCAAAAAGCGTAAATGCTAACTTTCACCAGTAATGGAGTTGGAATCGTAATCAGAAACCCAGAGCATAAAGATCCAATTACCCTTACAACTGCAGCGTCTACAGTCTTAAAAAGTCCTTGAATTTAGGGAAAGTCCTTGAAATCTCCTTGAATTTTCTTCAACTTTGAATGTAGCAGGGTCGGGTTTCTGAAAGGCCGATAAGCGCTAATCCCGGATTAACATTTTGTTCCACTTTTTGTTTTTACCTTCCTTTGCATTGCTTAGAGAAACATTTTGAGTTATCAATTCTTTTTTTCGAAGTAAAGGCTCAACAGTATTTGTAAGCTCGAGTTACGTGTTCTTAGACAAGAAAATCTTGCTTAAAATTAGGCTTAATCCTGGGTTAAACTTAACCACCTTTCGAGGAACCGGTCCCTGGAAAGTGTTTTTTTTAATGCTTTTTGGTTATCCAAGACAGAATATAAATCATAGCTCAGAGAAGTTAAAAGTGATTTACGTAAAGCGTTTTTTTGTGTGTGTTACGCAATAATTAACTACAAATTTTAGACAAGTGAGCTAAAAGAAAAGTTGGTGGAGCAAATAGTTCAAGCCTTAAAGTGCTGTTAGAATAGACTGGGAATGTGCATTTTTGTACAATCTGTGAAATTACATTCGTGGTAAGCGATCCTTGAAAATCGAATGGGTCCTTGAAAAGTCATTAAAAATGGTTGCAACTTTTTCTATGAACCCTGTGCGAGCTGGCTCGCCGGCTATAATCTGAACCAGTTTGGTGCGGTAGGCTTCTGGTACGCTCAGTTCTGATTTAGGACTAACATTCGTTTAACGTTGGCCTTTTAGGAGCAGTATGAGTTCTGTTACAGAGCAGTTCTGTTTTATGCCAATCAGTATCTACAGTTAGGTAAGATTGATTTTCCAGACTACGTTGAATTATCATCTTGACTATTCTGATGAGGTTATGTCTCTCACATGGAGGAGAGGGCGGCTGTGTTAAAATTATGGAAAAGGGGCAATTAATGTTTTAAAGGGGTTAAAAATATAATTTGAAGTGAATTATTTCATACTTTTCTACCCTAATCCTTGTTTGCCATTTTATCTTCATGTCCGACATAAATTAAGCAATTATGCTTCGTTAAATTAACTGTTTTTTTTTCATTTCTGCAGAAAAAACTGCTATTGCCTTCAAGAAATCAAAGCTTGCATCACATGACCACTTGGGTGACGTCAGCAGTGCGTCATCAGTGACGTCATTGAGTGACAGTGGTCAGCGGAAGGCAGATGATGTGAGCTTTCTAGGGGAAATTTCCTCTGACGAGGATAGCTCTGACAGTAGCAGTGAATTTGACGAAGAGAAAAGTAGTTTAATCAGAAGAAAATCTTCCCAAGATCTGGAAGATTTTGATCAGATCAAGACAGATCTAGAAATCTCCGGGCTTAAAGATTCTTCTCAAGTGACTAGTGATTCTTCAAGTGATGATAAAAGCATTCCGTGCACTTCAACGATCAGTGCAGATCTACCAGCAGTTGGCGAATCGTCTGGCAGCGTCTCAGAGGTAAAAGAGTCATCTGTTGCCGACACTCAAGAATTACCGAAAGCGAGCTCAGATTTCTCCGCGGCGATCGAGGAAACTAAAGGGTCGAAGGTGGGAGAATTAGCCGATCACGACGCAGAGCTGAAGGATGCATCGGTTGATTCCTCTTATGCTAAAAAGGATACTGAAAAGGCGTCTTCGTCTTCTACGAGCAATGCAGAGCTTACAGTCACGTCCGAGAGAAGCTCAGAATCGGTGGAGGCGCGTGAAAGCATTGAGGAACCGAATGGCTGTAGTAGTGGCGAGAAAGGTTGTAATGATGAGGTTGTGGGAGAAGACGTGAGTGAGAAACAAGTTGTAAGCCAGGATACTGGGGAAGAAAGCACGGATAAAGCTTTGGAAATAGAAGGGAATGCGAAAGAGGATGGTGGCAAAATTGGTGGTGAGGCAAATGAACGAGAACAGATAAACACTGATCAGTCGATGTCGGTTTCTCAGACTAATGAACAAACTGAGTCATTAGACGAGAAAAATACTACAACAGGACTGTTGAAAACACAGGCTACAGTAAATGGACAGCAAGGACAAGAAAAGCAAGAAGAAAAGGATAACCCTCAAGAAAGCGGTAAACAAGGCGAAGAAGCCAGTGAGCAACAAGGCCAAGAAAATGTTGAAAAAGTGAACAGAGAGCCGTGTAAAAGTCACGAAAAAGAACCAAATAATGAACAAACTGAAGAAAGAAAGGCTGAAGATTGCTCACAATCTAGCGGAGATGATAGACGAACAGAATTTAAAAAGAAAGGCGAAAGTGAAAGTCTTGAACAAACGAAGCAAGACTGTGAATATCAGCAA